CTATCGTGCTTCATAAGACGACAGACACTTCTGAGCTTAAAGCCGCTCGTAACTACAAGGGGTACAAACAATCACATTCCAAGACTGCCAACTCTCCAGAGCGTCCGGTGGCGGGATCTCTAACTGCCAACAAAGAAAGCCTGGTCACAGACGAGGTCGCCCAGGATGGTCGCATGCGACGAACAACCTACAATGCTAGCTCAGTCGACAAGCACGTTATCAAGGGAACGATGCAGAAGGTGATAACACAAAGCACTCAGCTACCTAGGGGGATCATAACGAAGGCCTTGTTGCCGTCATGACTCACTGTACAAAAAGTATCAACGCTTGTTTTCTTTTCTCAAGGTCGCCACAGATTCTGGAATCTTCACAACTACCTTAATGTTTTTAGCAGATATACATATGTATACGTGTCCACATCTAAATGTCCAGAGTACCCTCATACCACTCATGTACAAGTAATTGCCCATATGTATGATATTCAGAATCAACTACAGAGTGCAACAAACAACATTGTAAAGATACGGTCCACGTTTACATGCTCCCTTCCAACATCTTAGCCTTATAGTATCGGACCATCTCCTCCAAGCCCATCCGCACCGACCAACGGGGTTGCCATCCTAGGCTATTCTTTGCCCTGGTCGTGTCAGGGCGCCTCTTCTGAGGATCATCAGTCGGGATTGGCTTATAAACAATCTGCACGCGGCGCTCGAGTTTGATTCCATCTTCTTTTTGCACTTTCTCTACGATCTCGCGAACGAGTTCTGCGAATTCACCAATAGTGAATTCATCACCGTTACCAATGTTGACTGGGCGCGTTTCATCAGAGTTCATCAGGGCAATCAGACCGTCGATGAGGTCGTGGATGTACTGGAAGGAACGAGTCTGCTTGCCGTCACCATAAACGGTCATATCCTCGCCACGCAGGGCTTGGACGATAAAGTTGGACACCACACGGCCGTCGTGAGGGTTCACTGTGGGATCAACGTTAGATTAGCATTTGGTGTCTGATGAAAACGTGACGGAAACGAACTTCGAGGGCCTAAGGGGTGACAGTTAAGTAATGAAAACGGCACAGAGTGTAAGACTGACCGTAAGTGTTAAAAATACGCGCGACCCGAACATCCACGCCATCTTGATGATGGAAGCCATATGTGAGAGTTTCTGCAACACGTTTACCCTCATCATAGCAGGCGCGGGGGCCTATCGGGTTGACATGACCCCAGCTACAAGATAATAAAAAACACGATAAGAAGCAACTGAGCGTGGCTTACTAGTCTTCTGGCTGAGGATGAACTTCAGGGTCGCCATACACTTCTGGAGTGGAATTAGTACAGAAGAAGCCCCAATGTCGAAAAGAACCATACCGGATGTACTGCTAATGAGAAACCTAGCCTTCGTGCGCTTGGCTAAGCCGAGCATGTTTAGCGTGCCTATGAAAGAAGTCTTGATGGTTTTGACTGCATTGAATTGATAGTGCGGAGGAGACGCGGGACAAGCAAGGTGATATATTTCTGGGACGCCATGATCGTCAGACAGGAAGCGAATAGTACACAAGGTCAGAGGCTTACGATCACACTCGATCATGAAGGGCTCTACAACATCGTGACGGACCAATTCAAAGTTTGGGTGACCAACCCAGTGACTCACGGTGGTCTTTGAACCAGTGAAGAAGTTATCCAGGACGGTAACCTCATGGCCCAAGAGCATGAGACGATCGACAAGGTGAGAACCAACGAAACCAGCACCCCCAGTGACGAGAACGCGCTTCCTTGATGAGGGAGGTAAAAGCTTAACTGGGGCGAAGCGAGAAAGGGTCGTGTACGAGATCGACTGTGTGTCTGGATGGAAGATTGACTTGGACTGGTAGGCATTGGGGCCCTGCGTCAAATACCCGCGTCCTTCCTCTTCCTTAGCGTCTAGCTCCTGAACCTGGGACTCAGAAACTGAGACTACATAGTGCGATCGAAGATACAGTGATCGGAGGGCGTCAAGGGCCACCTCGCAGTCAAACCCAAAGCGTTGGAAGCCAACGCTAGTGATTTCTTGGCCGTTCTTATCCAGGGTCTGGGTCTATGAGTAGAAAAAATGCATCAGCGACACTGATCGATGAGAAAAAGACGGTCAGTACAGGTTGTTCAGATAATTTCTTGGGCATATTGAGCGTAGAAGTAATGAAGAGAAGTCGTTCATCAAACACTGTGACTTACATCTTTAACCGAAGACGAGGACATCCTGTGGAGATAGAGAGCAACCACAAAATGCGGCGTGCCTTGAGTTACTAGATGTCCACTAGAGTTCGCGCAATTTTGGCGTAACGTCTATTACTCCACAACGCATCAACATAAAAATTTAATTAGTTGACAGCTCGATAGCGTGACATCGAAAGTACAGCACCTGCTAGTTTTTTTTTTGAATCTCGACGTGTTGAGTCCAGCGGAAGGTTACCGCGCAGAAAAGTGCATTTTCCCTAGAGTTCGCGCACTTTGTCACACCATGTCACACGTCTGCCGCCATGCCTTTTCGCACTCCGTATCAGTGTCCGCACCGTTCGTCGCGCTGTCAGAGGCAATGGTACACGAAACAATCTGTACGACGCGGTAGAAGTGTGCAATCAATTCTATTGCAATAGTTATGTGATTGTAAGATATATAGTATTATATCTCGGCTCTCGAGAGTAACTAATGTGAATAATAAGGTGTAGCTTGTGCAGGTATATGATAATTGTGAAGAGAATGATGAGGAACGGTATGATAGTGTGTGTTGCTAGGTGCATGATGTAAATTATGCTGGGGAGAGAATGGATAATGCAGGTGTCCATGAGGAAGTAAAGTAGGTGCAACTTGAACACCAGAATGAACAGCGGCCAAGGGAGGATCAGACATTGACAGCGCGTGAACATAATGTGGAGTAGTGGATGAGGATGACGCTGGTAAGCCCGTCGAACGGTCGTTGAGTTGACGACGAATTGCAGGTTCGACAGAGTGCATAACACTTCTGTTTGATGGTCCGCTTACTGATTGGGTTGCCTGCAGCATCGAGGTGCTCAATCCAGTCCACAAGAACTTTTTCTTGATGCTCGGAGAGTAGTTGCTGATGTTTGTGGGCTTCCCTAGGAGGACGAACACCACGAAAGCGGCCACGAAGAGTACTCTCGGGAATACCATAGTAAGTTGCTGTTCTCCTGATGTTTGGTGTGTTACCAGCTCGCTGATCTTCCCAAAGCTTTGCGCAGGCCTTCTTGACTTTTTCTTCTTGAGCCTCGCGCAGCTGTTTGGACTTGACCATGCAGCCGTTGGGGACTTCAATTTTGCATTGGTGTTTTTGTGCCGCATTTCGGCATTGCGGAGTTTTGATTTACACAGTCTCAATGTAACGCTTTGCATAGATTGTCACGTCTGGGGCATATTTCTTTTATCACAGATGATCCTGACAAGCATGTAGCCCCGGAGAAATTTGTTTTGGTATTTCCTCATCATGTATAACCATCACACCACATTCCAGAATTTTATGAGGTGATCTGACCTTCATAGTGAGCCTTCTATGCACAAAATTGCCCTCCAGCACCAATAATTTCGCCATAGGACGAGATCTACTTCGGTTTTCTTCAAATAAAAAATACCACACTATGTATTACGCTAGGGGGAACTTGACTATACCATACATAAGGATTCTGTGCAGAATTGCGTGTGCTAGAGTCGATGCGCGGACTCTCGGGACACACGGACTCGTGGGACTATCTAGTAATGGTTAGATTTTTCTGCCTGTGCCGTCAAAGCGGAAACGAAAATCAGATTGAACCTTAGTAACTCCCTCAGTACCGAACGGGTTTCCGGTACCCTGTTATCACTCAAACGTTACTCGGCTCCATCAAACCCTGAGGAAACAAGGTACGGACATCCCTCACATAATTCACAAGGAAAGGACCCCAGACCGATCTATGATGTTCGGTTCAGTTTACTTGTGATGGCATCACCCAGCTGTTTATAACCCTCAACGCATTCCTTCACCCATCTGCTTCCCTTCTGCCCACATCCCTCCATTATCCTCGTAACGGTGTTGTCCCTGACTCCCAGTTCTATTCTACATCAGCGCTCCCCTGGAATCGTCTATAGTGAGACCTGCACAGCGGGTATGGGTTTTATGGTGGTCCGGAGCCAGGGTTGCCTCCTGTAATATGGGGAGAGTGAGACATCGTTGGGGATTGGAATGGAGGCGCAGCACCATTTGGTCTTGGGAGAGCGAGACATCGTTGGGGATTGGAATGGAGGTGCAGCGCCATTTGGTCTTGGAGGGCCGCTGGGCCTCTGCTGCCCTGGTAGTAGCTGCGAGAAGTTTCCTGGTTGACCTGGAGGGTTGGTAGGTGTACACTAAGATTAGTAGCAGACTAGTAGTTGAGAAAATAGACACCTTGTTGACATCAAATCCGGGCTATATGGGAGAAGGGAGCTGAGTATTACGTCCGTGGAGTGAGATACTAGGGAGCGATGGAAGAATGGAGTCGGTATGAACAAGCTTGAGCGGATTATCTAGAAAGACTTGACGGCATTAATGGAGTTTACTTTGGTTATTTTGAAGCAAAGAGTATCAAAGTGTCAGGGATATCATGACTGGGTATAGATAGTCCTGGTAAATAGCATATGAAAGTGTATAGATAGTCCTGGTAAATAGCGTATGAAAGTGTATAGGTTAGCGCCATCATCAAGACGGGGGAGGGAAATAATCAATGATACCAGCTCCAGGTGTGAGGGCGTACTCGAGGTCACTAACATAGCTGTTAGAATAGGCTGATCGTCGTCGGGGACAATTATTGCGTGCAGAATGTTGCCTCCATGGACACAGCTCCAGAACACCTTTGACATCTGGTCGAAGAGCATTGAAAAGCGAGTAGGATGGTACTGGTGTGAAGGGTAGGATTCTTCTGGGTGCTGGTTGCTGTGACAGCACATGCATAGCGTCATCATGCGGATGTTGAGTGACACGATGGCGCTGTGAAAGGGCTAAGATGCTGTCAAAACAATGGGTAAATGACGTAGACGAAGATTACCTTGACGAGTGATGCTTCTTGAGGCTCGGTAGGCATGAGTAGCATCACGATCACGAGTGCCGATGCCCAACGATGCATGAACGTCGATGCTCTGTGCCGCTCGGTCGTCAAAGGCTCGGCCTCTCATGATACCTCCAAGAAGTGTTAAGTGCACCCCATCACGGTTGATGTTGCGGTGGGCCTGCTCATTGCCGTTTGTGGTGGTTGGGCATGCACGCCAAATATCTTCAGGTATGAAGCTTGCAGGACGGTATAGCGCGGGAAATGCGAACTTGTTAGTCTGAAGTTTGTCCTTAAGCCATGCTTCAGCTTTTCGGCCGCCACCTCTGATGACACTGAGCGTCCTCTGAAAATTGGGATGTGCATCTGATGAAGATAGACTCAGCATGGCATTATATACCTCCTTCAACACCTGTGATTGAAGCGGCCGCAAGTTCCTCTTGAAATGGACGATACACAAACGGTAGAACCGGCGAAGGTGATCGTAGGGAGTCAGATCGCATAACTTGCGATGCGGTTCGTAAATGCATGGAGTCTTGATGTTTTTGCTAAGCTCTGAGCAAAACAGTCCAAGTCCTACCGTGAAACACGTCAGCCTTGCTTGTAAGCCAAGGAAAGGAAAAAATACGTACTGAGACCCTGACCCATATGAGCGTCTGCCACTACTGACTCGTAGCCACTACCATGGATGTGTTTGAAAGATACCGGTGTTCCTGTGTCCTCACTGGCGATTGAAAAGATTCGGCGAAAAAGAACCAAGTGTGCCTGTGCAGATTGTGAATTTATGAATGCTCGTGCACCCGTAAGAGCTATACTTAGTATCAGTATTGATGAATTCAAGTGACATGAACATAAACTTACATCGCATGTGGTTGTTGTCCCAAGCTTCAATCTCAAATTCTTGCCAGCCGTGCAAGCGCTTGAATGACGTGTCAATTGACACACGGCGTGCGAGCAGTAGATGGCGCGACATCAAGGGACTCATACAAACAATGAGACGGAAATCAACACCACCAGGGAGAGTGTGTGTTTCTGCGCACCTGAACATAGCGCGCATGACATGGCAGCTCGTTCTCCTTGTCGACGAGCAGTTTTGCACCTCGAAAGCCGGTCCCCATTGGATACTTGTCACGACGGAATTTATACATGAGACGATGCACATGATCGAGATTCGCTAGAGATGGGTGAAGGTCAGCAAGAGTTGGACTGCGGTCCTGTGTCCAACCCAAAGCCGTACGTAGCCCCCGCATGAATCCAGAGTCGCATAGAATACGTCTAGGAGTTGCATCGGCAAGCTCCCAATCCATATCCATTAGCAACGACCTGAACAAATCAACGAGCGGAGGTGGTGTTTTGATTGGCGCGGGTGGCGGGTGAGAGTGTGGGTTGCGACACACAATAGCGATGCGGGGTACAGCAACAAGGTTGACAGGGACAAAGATATCGAATTTTGACTGGCAGTCATGCTCCCATTTAAGGAGACGACCACGTTCCAACATGCCGGCTGAGTTCCTGTGCCAATGAGCTGCACAAACACGACATCAGCTGAGAGACAGGGAGTTTGAAAAAAATGACCCACCACATGTTTGCTTGTGCTCGACTGGTGAAGCAACAAAATTGCAAGGCACCAGGGGTCCATAACCACAATGTTCCGCACGTTCTTCGTGAATAAGAATTGCTGCGATGTCGTGGGCGAGCAATGCTTGAAGATAGTTGATATTGAATTCTTGAAGGTTCCAAAGGATGAGATGTGCCCGGTCAGTGCGTGAACGATGTTCACATCTACAGCCACGGTGATTGGATTAGCAAATATTAGAATGATGGCGACAATATACTCACTGGATGAATCGTTGATTGTATTTATCAGTGCGCATAATAAGGTTGCCCGAACAAGACGTCGGAGAGCGCGAGGATGCGGCGGTAGGAGTCACAAGAGCACGTTCGTAGTCGTTGGGGTCGATGTTTGAATCATCCAAGTCATTCTCGAAGTTGAAATCTGTGAACTCAGTGCTGGTACGGAAACTACAGCCGTGTACCTTAAGTGCACAGACAAATGCAAATGTCTTGGTGAAAACTTCCCGTTCTGCTGAATCATCAGTGGGAGAAAATGCTCTGGTAGGAGTGATAAGTTCGCTGATGTGTGCCCGGTGGGTGTATGAATGGGTGGCATTGATGAATGCGTCAGTGTTGGAGGAACATGCCTTCAGGCCCTTACCTAAGCACATCACTGAGCGTCACTGACATGATTCATGCATAGATTGACGAAACTTACAAGACGTCGAAATCCTGTTGCACTTAACTGGTTTGCCATCAGTGCTATCTTGAAGCAAATGGCAGAGAACGTTCTTCCGGCCTCCATGTCCGTCACCAAACGAGTACTGGAATGAAGCTTTAGGATTGTCAAACTCGTGAGTAATGTAGTTCGCAGATATCGAGAAAATGTGCGCGACTGCTTGTCCCATGACTGATCCAGTTTCAGGATACTCCACAATTGCCCCAAGAGGATGTTCAACTATGGCATCGACAGTCGTCTGCCGGTTGACACGGTGAGCATTTCGTGAGATTTCGTCTGCAGTGAACTGACGCGCCGGCGGTGGAATGTAGTTGGAAGCTTGAACAATTGGGGAGGGCTCAGTGCTGGGTAACGGGGCGATGGACGATGCAGCAGGAGACGTGTTCAAAGTTGTAGGGGTCAAGGATCGGGTGCTAGTAGTTGGTGAGTAATCGAGATCAGACGCTGACAATCCAGCATCGCTAAGGATGGATTGGGCACGTTGGACAGCAAGACATTGATGTTCTGAGAGATCCATTGGGGCACATCTGGTGGCATGGTTGAAGGTATATATCACTCTCGTACTCTATGTGTCTTCACTGTTCAGGGGGAACTTCTGTTTTAGGTGTCGATGTGTAAACTGTTTGTCATGCAGTTCGACTTTCCGATTCTCTCCACCACTCACAGAGCACTTAGCAGGCTCGTTTTTACTTGGCAACTCTATGCACACCCTCAAGCTGTCAGAAAATTCATTTTGATGAGTTTAAACAGACCGATCAGCTGGGGCCATTTTCAAACAAGGTTTCCCCCAAACTACTGCAACAGCCTAAAAATCATTCTAGGTTCATCCATCGAATTCCATGGCCATTCGATTGGACAACGTCCTCGCTTGACAAATGTCCATTCGAAGCGAAGAGTGTCAGACGAGAAAGAAAGGTAAAGTACCATTGAATTATATTTTCCGCCTCTTCTCACTTCAATATACAAGCAATAAAGCAGGACGGCGACCTCGCTGTGGACGTGGACCAAGAGACCAGCGGCTTCAGCTGGGGCACATTATAAAAGGTGCGTGAGTTTTACTTCTGCTTGTCATCTCATTTTTCAACCATCTACCATGCCAGCTTCTGATTCCATGTTTCTGCTTTGCCGTCGCTACCAACGAAGCAGCACGGAGCTCGTCATCTACTCACGCGATGTGAAACAGTGCGTCGAAATAGCTTAGTGCGTCTGATTTATCCTATCCAGATATCATGCTAACATTTCGTTCATTTCAGTCCAGTTTCCCGCACAACTAGAACTCGTGTAACACCCGCGGGCATTGCCCAATTTTTGCGACGTAGGCGCACTTCTTGGGAGTGCTTCTGCAGTGCCGTGGAGGAGTGTGCAACTCCTGTTCGTTTTGTATCGACAATGAATGGATTCACGAAAGCTGTGTGTTATTTCCGCAATAACAAGTGCGGTTTTTCAAGTAAGTCTTTGAACTTTTTGACGACCTCTATCTCTACCTTACTCGGTTCACAGTCAATCTCAACGAGACGTGTCACACTGCGCACCATATTTCAACCTATGAGGATTGGCCTGTGTTTCAAGCTGCCGCCAACACTGCCGCTCTCGTAACTAGGTTTGAACTTCGATGGCTGAATTCACCTCTCCGTCATTCAGAAATCGCGCCATACTTTATGGACTATCTCGGTGCCCATCAGTCCATTCATCCTTCACAAACATGGACTCGTACAGTCTCTGCCATTCCTGCTCGCACTAATAATAACAGGCGTCGTCATTCTGGTGTTTTTTTTTCATTTTCGTTCATCTTTCATTAACTCACATGAATTCGTCTACAGCTGTCTTTCCCACTGCGAGAGATCAGTTGCTTGGCCATGCACATCACCCAGTGCAACACCCAATGCAACATGTTGAGCCTGATGCTCTCGTAGTTCCTCCTGAAGATGTTCCTGACTTACCCATGGTCCAGGAAGGCCCTATCCTGTCTCCGAACGAGCAGGATCACTTGTTTAAGCTTGCAGCTGGTGGGGGTATTCATGAGTTTGATGCTAATTGTCTTTTGGAGAAGTGTGATGGTTGCAGATGTGTATTTATTCCAACCGCACTGAGGTTGCACATCATCGAAGGATGCAGAGAGAGATAGTGTATTGGCACAGACAGCTACAAAATTACAGGACCATGTACATATTCAAGTAGTCTATAAGTACGAAGTTTGTTTGAGTTCTGTCACAGAACTTAAACATACTTCACAAATAACGAGTAAACTTGCAAGGTTTCAAGAGCGAGAGAGAAAAAGGAGCTTAGAGGGACACATGAGCAGCGGAAGGGAAGGGAAAAGTTCTGGAGACAGAAGCATGTGTTGATGGGTGAAGAAATGAATGCGTTGAGGTTATATACGGCTGGGTGATGCCGTCACAAACAAGCTGAAGCGAACATCATAGTAAGAGTCTGGGGTCCTTTCCTTGTGAATTATGTGAGGATGTCCGTACCTTGTTTCCTCAGGGTTTGATGGAGCCGAGTAACGTTTGAGTGATAACAGGGTACCTATAACTCGTACCGAACGAGCAGTTAGTACTACATAGTTACACCAGACCCGATGTGGAATTCTTTCCTTAAACTATTATCAGGACGACTAGGAGGGTTGTAGGTAATTATTAAGTAATCAATATCCATCAGAAAATAATGTTTCGGTAAATCGCATACATACCATCATGCCTCGAGTACAGAAATCAGTGAAGCCAAGGCATGACCCTCTCCTCGCACAACTGGATGTCGATGAGAAACAAGCGAAATACGGTCGCATATCTCAACCGGGGAAGCGCACCAAGCGGCAGAAATCCTCCGACGATGAAGAGAACACAGAAGTGTGTACATTCTAGTCGTGCTCGTTAAAATGATTGATCGAGCAATGCACAGGTACTTGACCCAAAAATGTCGAGGAGAATCTTTGAGCTCGCGAGGGATCAGCAAGAAGAGATCGATATGCCCGAGGACGAGGATGAGCCTCGGCATGAAGATGAACGCGAGAACTTTAAGCCCAGAGTACAATTCGCCGATGATGATGATGAGAACAGTGACGATGATGACATGAGTGATAACGGTGATGCAGAGGATATGTTTGTCAGTGCATTCTGATGTAGCTAGCTTGCATCTCACCATCCATCCCCCTCAGCAAATAGATTCTGGAGATATTAAAGTATTGGATGCGCTCCTGCCATCTAATTCTGGTGAACGCCGAACATTAGCGGATATCATTTTTGCTAAATTGGAGAGTGGGGAGACCAATGGTGTCAATGTCATGCAAAAAGTGCAGCAGGGTACGGATCAAATCCTGGTCGCTCAGGCTATCATCTCATATTTTCCAGATCAAGAACATCCTGATCCAGCACTCGGTCTTGATCCTAGACTTGTAGAATCTTATTCAAAGCACGTACATCCTGTCTCACGCAATGTTTACTGAATCTCATGTTTCTTGCAGACTCGCAATCTTCCTGCACGGGTATAAGTCGGGGCCATTACCAAAATTCTTCAAAGTGATTCCTTCGCTCCCAGCATGGGCAAGAGTCTTGGCGCTCACTCGTCCCGAAAATTGGAGCCCTCATGCATGTAGAGCAGCAACACGAATCTTTGTGTCGACGATGAAGCCTGCTCAGGCTCAAATATTTCTTTCCGTGGTCCTCCTGGATGCAATACGGGAGGATATACAGAGCAATAAAAAACTCAATGTACAATATTATGAATGCCTAAAGCGCGCATTATTTAAACCTGCAGCATTCTTCAAGGGTATCGTGTTCCCGATGTTGGAGGTGGGTTGTCGGACTTACATTTCTAACCATACTTAATCACTTTCACTATTACTAGGACGGCTGTACCCTTAAAGAGGCCGCTATCATTGCTTCTGTCGTTGCTAAGAAGAAAGTGCCTGTCTTGCATTCTGCGGCAGCTTTACTTCGGATAGCAAACATGGACTATACAGGTACAATATCATTTTTCGTTATCTTCAAGGTAACTTATTGCTTTCAGGACCGAATTCTCTATTTATTCGCGTGCTGATCGACAAAAAGTACCAACTTCCATACAAAGTTGTTGATGCCTTGGTGTTCCATTTCATTCGTCTTTCCAACACTTACAAGGCTCGTGGGCGTGGCGACACCCAAAAGCTTCCGGTGCTCTGGCATCAAAGCCTGTTAGCTTTCTGCCAGAGGTCAGGTTGTTGCATTCGATATCGGTACCAATCTAAATCTGGCTTTTTATAGATACTCACCGGATCTCACCCCTGACCAAAAAGATGCTCTCCTGGACGTCATTCGCGTTAACCCCCATCCACAGATCGGCCTCGAAGTGAGAAGGGAGCTGGTTAACTCAGTAGCCCGAGGAGAACCTCGACCCGACCTCGCTCAAGATGTAGACATGTCATGATGATGTGTCTTCTTTCGCCTTTTATACATGTATTCATTCTTTGATTATACGTCGTCCGATCGACGAGCTGGCCGGGCCTGTCCTCAAAGGGCAATATTCGTTACCTGGACGATTGTATGATTGCTATAATTTATAACCCTAAACAAGGTACGCTTTTTCTGGGTTTCTTCATATAGTTTTTAGTATCAAAAAAAGTCTGAACGATGTCCTGCGGGGTTATTACTGTCAAATTGTTTGACCCCCATGTGTACATTACTCCACCGCTCCCTGTCAGTGTCTTCGTAGTCCACTCTTTACAATGCGAAAAAATACTTAATGAGATAACTGAGACGAATTAGCCAGGATGGGCAACTCACTGTGCGCTTCCGTGTCAGATTCTACTCTTATCTCCGTTTCTGAATCTTTGAAGACTACAAAAAGCCATTCTCAACCTCGACGCTGATCTATTCACTAGCTCTACACCGCACTGTCAAAAGTACGATATCGGCGCGCCATTCGAACAACAGCAACTGTAGTGTACAATGTAAATGTCCAAATGTGAACAGATTGAGGCCTTGTCAGACGTATTTTCACTGCCTGGAACCTGGCCCCGATTTGGTCTCAAAAACACCTGCAGGACAAATGATGGGCAGCAACCACAATGTTCAATTGCTTGTTTGTATGCGGAAGAAGCAAGATCTAGGTATTGATGAGCTGACAGGTGGTGAATTTAGAAAAAACGAGGAATGTCAAAGAGTCTGGGCGGGGACCCCTTGATATAATGTTGAGGATGATGTGAGTTTTCGACGGGTTGAGAATATACCAGCTAGCTGCGCACATGCCGCAAGTGCGATGATCGGTTCTGTGCGGCATAGCGCAGCAGCAGGGGAAATGTCTCCACATTATGAAACGTTTCGTCCTTACATATGTTAGAACATGTACCCACGTAGTGCTGCTATCTCAGGTCGTCCCTGTTTGGAGCAAAGATGCACATATCCGGCGAGCGTTCCTCCCGTTGGCCGAATTGTGTGAACCATCGCTGGTTTTTCGATCAAGTGACTGTATAGATAGAGGCCTATTGATCAAAACAATACCAACTATCGCAAAATATTACTGAGCGACCTTATAAAGAAAAATAGGCCACGAAAAATCTCACTGGACAGATAGTTAGGCGCAGCGATTTCGCACTCTTTAAAACGAAGGCGCAATGTCCAGTGGCTGCGTCGCGTTTAAGGGTCCAAGTCGTGCTCTCGGCAAGCCCGGCCAGATCGTAGAGGTGTCGATGGCAGCTCGTATGATTGCGGCCTCTTGACAGTCCGACGTAATGTAGGCGTGCAGGACTGGAGTGAATCGAGCAGTGATTTGACTGCCATCTATACGTTTTGTACTGTGAGCGCTCTGAAAAAGAAAGAGGCTGAGAGGAAAGACAACATACCCAATACCATTGAAGTCGAGTACAGGCTTGGGTATCAAGTCTTCTGGACTCATGAAACCTGGTGATTGACAATGTACTGAGGTGAGAAAAGGAGACTACGATGGTCATAAACCGACTGTAAGATCCTGAATGGTCCTAATGTTCATAGCCCGCAAGACACCAGAGGCATCTATACTAGGAGACATTCGTGAGTGGTAAAGATAGAGATTAAAAAGTCAGACATACAGAGAAATGATAGACATCGTTGGCCTCGGTCAGTGTTGTTTTTTCGCTGACCTGCGTCATGACTTGCGTTGGTGTTACGAATTGCAGAGAGTACGAGAGTCGCTCACATTGATCTTAACGCAAATTTCAGCGTCGATGATGTTCATATCCACGACCCGCGGTTTGGAGAAAGTAAGTCTATAGGTTGGATACAAGCATTATCTATATCTTCTGTCTTCATTGTTACAATCGCGCAACTAGCAGGTATACGCAGGCAGGAGCCAGGTTATGCACCATGGCGCATTTCGCGACTGCAATATCTTATTGCATTGGCACATAAATAGTAGTGCTGACCCTGCTGGTCTCAGTGATGACTCGGAGTCAACTGTCAAACGAGCTGCAAGATGGTAAACCTGCTTCAACCAGCACTTGCACTTGCAGGGTTGTGCAGAACGTTCAAAACGCATTGGCTTGGTTGTAAGTGTGCACGGCGCTAGCTGGGCTTCGCCTGCTCAGCTGCCAGTTCTCTGAGAAACAACGTATAGACTGAGAGATTTATGATGACTAAGCAAATACTGCTAAAGAAATTAGGCTTTAAAAGGTCGCCTCGCTGAAGAGATACATATGGAGGTGGTTGAAGCGCTGAAGAATTGTTCTTCCTTCATGAGTAAACCTTTGTAAAGAGCCGCACAATGCCAGAATGCTAGGTGGTGCCCGCAGCCTGGTCCCTTTAACCGAGTCAGCCAGTTGAAATGTACACATTCAACGTCAACATTCAAATTGGCTCCATCTGTCCCTCACAACTCTCACATGGAACTGCCAAGTGCAAAATAAAATAGTAAATAAAATACCCGCTCAATACAGTACTTTGCCCGACTTAATTGTTCTCTGATATCAAGATTCAAAAATAAAATAAAAACCTTATAGAGTAGGACTAAAGCCCTATATTGGTCAATTAAGATCTAAACCTCCCTCAGGTAACGTAGGAGGCAATCCCTGGTAATTGTCATAGATTGGACATAAACGATCCCATTCATCTGTAAAGCAGCTCAGCCGTAGAAATACAGTTTCTTGACGTATGACCTACACGGCACGGGGCTCACATG